AATTGTTTAACGTAATACAATCATTCCTGTCAAACCGTGAATTGAAGGTCGTTCTCAACGGATTCTCCTCCAGTTCCTATCCCACGAACGCAGGTGTTCCTCAAGGCTCCATCCTAGGCCCCACTCTATTCCTTATCTATATAAATGACCTTCCTGACGCCATAAATTCCCAAGTTGGCATCTACGCGGATGACACCACAATTTATTCCTGCCTCAAAAACAAATCTAGTGTCGCTGACAAAACTAACCTGGCCGTGCGTCTCTGAAAAAAAGGACCTCCAATCGATTGTGAACTGGGGCAAGAATTGGCTGGTCAACTTTAACGCCTTCAAAACAAAACTGCTCTCTATTAATCACCACAGAGATCCTTCCCTTCCCTCCATTAGAATGTCTGACGCTCAACTTCCTGAGAGCAACTCTCTGCGGCTGCTCGGTCTCACGTTGACTGCTGACCTGAGATGGAACAAATACATTGAGTCAATTGCCTCGTCCACCGCAAGGAAAGTTGGCTCCCTGTGCCGCGCCAGGAAATTTTTTCTCCCCGAATCGATCCTCCAGATCTACAAATCAACAATTCGCCCTTGCATGGAGTATTGCTGCCATATATGGTCTGGAGCCCCTTCTGTTTGCCTCGGGGGTCTTTGATAGGCTCCAGAGGCGGATATGCAATATAATTGGCCCTGATCTGGCATCTCGTCTACAGTCACTTTCTCACAGACGCACCGTCGCCTCCTCTGTCTGTTCTACAAATACTTTCATGGAAATTGCTCCGAGGAACTGCATTCGCTGGTTCCCAAACTTCATGAGTTCAAGCGCCCTACGAGGCTGGCATCCCGCTCTCACCCCTTCACTGTCGAAACTCCTAAATGTAGCCGTCTCTTCTACTCCAATAGCTTCATGTCTCGCACCTCTCGCCTGTGGAACTCCTTTCCCTTTTCCTGTTTCCCTGAGAGCTATAATCTCCAGCTATTCAAATGTAATGTCAATCGACATCTCCAGTTGCCTTGATCTATCCACTCCTTCCCTCATCCTTTCTTCTATCACTCCTATCTGATCTTCCCAAATTTTCTGTAACCCCTTGCGTCCTAGTGGCTTCCCGCCTTGCTTGGGGTGAAATGCTTAAAAAAAAAAAAAAATATATTCGTGATAAATGCATATTTATACAACGTCATATATTCAGGGTGACGAAATTTCAGACCCGCCTCTGTATCAATAATAGAACTAGGGACAGGTAAACTGAAATTAAACTGTGAGAGAAATGTTCACTAATTACCACTGACACACGCATTTACATAATGATAAATGGAAATTTTTCAACTTTTCTCTACACATGTCTACATTCTCTCTTTATATCTACATACAATTTTTCTATGTCAAAATCCTTCAACAAATCTTTTTTGTCTCTTTCAATTGCATCCTTTTTTTTCTTCTTTTTCACCTTTTTTTATAAAATTTCAATTTTACACAATCTTCCTCTTCTATATTTTATATTAATTTCTCTTAAATTAACACAAATTTTCTTTTTCCCCCCCTCTCTCTTTTTTAAACATTCGAGAAACGCAGACTGGCTGTGAGCTATTTTTCTTTTTTGAAATAGATAAATTTATTTCTTTCAAAAATCCTCTCTCCCCCAACCTTTTTCTCTCAGACACTATAATCTCTCTCTCTCTCTCTTTTTCTTCTTACACACACACACACACACACACAAACAAACATTTCTCAGATACTGCTTTTTTTTATTCAAATTCTTTTTTGACATGGATAAAATCTTATTCATTTGAATGGTCATATCCTCATCTCCTCCCTCTAAGATTTGTCTCTCTCTCTCTCTCTCTCTCTCTAATTGACACTTCAAGCCTTTCTCTCTCTATTTTCTCTGATACTGCATCTTTCGGTCAATTAAAAAAATCAAACTAGTTTAAAATAACTCAAATTGGCATGAATGTTTCTCTTTTTTTCCTTTCTCATTCTCTTTTTTACATTTTTTAAATCTGAACTTTCTTTCTCTCTTTTCTCTCTCTTTTTCTCTCTATCTTCTCTCTCTTCCTCGCTTTTAAATCTCTTTATTTGTCCTGAACATACCTTGAAATAAATCATGTACACCCTTGCAAAATTTTTTGAAACACCTGTTTTAATTTCTTTTTTTTAAATATACGGACAGTTTTAAACCCAAATGGGCTGACAGTATGTAATCGATTTCTATTTTTTTCCTCAGATTAGGTCATTTGCAGTTTCCTGCAGTAATATGAATCTATTTTTTGGGTTTAAAAATGAAATTTTTTGATATTGAAAAATATTGCGTCATCTGTTGATCGTATTTTTTTTATCACGCCCAGCCACTATTGTCTCGACTGTCGATTAGTTGTCCTACGGCTATTGTCTGCGATGGACATTACTCCAAGGAAACGTACGAAAATTGTAAAAATTTTAAAACACACTTAAAAGCCTTACCAGTGAGCAAATGAAAATACTATCGACTGGCCCATTTACTCACATTATTTAAATTTAATCAAGAATCTGTGGTCAATCTGCGAGGAACGACATCGTGGAATGGACATACGAAGTACTAACATATGCACTGGGTTTTTTTCATTGAAAAAATAAAAAAAAAAATAACGGAATTATTTTTTTTTTTTTTAATTTTCAAAACGGTGTATAACTTGATCTATCGCTTTCAGTTTGAAATGTCTCACAATACACACACACACATATTTTGTCTGAAAAAAATATCTGAAACTAAATATATATCTTACTTTCAAACTTTTTATCCAATCATCTCTATAATGACCTTTTTTTTTTTTTCATTTCTTTCTAGAAATTCATCCCTCATCCCTTTTTCTTAACATTCTTTGATAAAATCTCTTTTTGCTCCTCAGTTTTGGCACTTTCTATTTTCCATTACTACAAATGGCATATCTCTCATTCTTTTTTTTTTTTTTCTAAAAAAAGCATCTCTCTCATTCATTGTCATAGACAACATGTTACACATCATGATATAAAACGTTGAATACTCATCTCTCTCTCTCTAAAATATATATATATATATATATATATATATATATTTTTTTTAATTTTTTTATTGTTTAAATAGTCAGTAGCCTCCAAAAAAATAGGGATGTAAAATTAAGAAATAGATCAAAATCCACCATCATAAAGACTGAAAAAAAAAATTGATTTGTCTATTTATTGTTTAAGATTTCATGTCATTAATTTGTTTTTTTTTTTTTTTTTTTTTTTTTTTGAATTGGTCAAATCAAAACTCAAATGTAAAAAACATTTTTTTTCAATCGTTATGAGTATACTGATTGAATAGAATTTTTTATTATAAACAATTGTTTTGTAAATGGAATTTTTAAAGCATTCTGAATGTAAAAAAAAAAAAAAACTTTAAAGACAATAAGAAACAAAAAACTTAAAAAAAAAAAGTGAAAAAAAAATGAAACCGGTTTTAAAAATCTTTTTTTCTGATCCCATATATAATGAATTTACACACATACATAAACACACACACACAATACACACACAAAAACAACCTTTTTTTATAATAAGTATAACTCGATATGAGTTGTTTATAATTCATTCTCATAAATGCCTTTTTAATCGTTTTTTTAAATTTTTTCGTGAAATTCAAAAAACCATTGTTTTTTTTTTTTGGAGCGCTTTTGAACCACCGAATTAATTTTTATACGTAGTCCTGTGAAGTTTTGTTTTTAAATCGGTTGAAAAATGTCTCATCTGAAATGATCCAATGTATAAACGTACAGATATTTTCAAACACAAACACAAAAATTTTGCGTTTTATAATAAGTATGATTAATTATTTATCTGTTTAATAAAAAATTGAGATCTTTTTGTGGATCAGTTTTAATATTTTATATTAATTTCTTCATAAAATCGGAGTTTGTCACCTTTTATATATATATATATATATATATATATATATATATATATATATATATAACGCATATGATATGCAAAAACTCTCGCTGAGAAATCTTGCAAATCTCTTTCTCTCTTTAATTTAATCTCTATATCCATCTATCTATCTATCCATATTTTATTTTTGAAAATTTAAGATGTATCCAAAAGTTCAAAGAATTTTTTTGGTAATTTTATCAAAAAAATAATTGATAATATTAAATCTCCTTTTTATTTCCCAAAATGAATTTTTTTTTTGTTTGGTTTTTTTGGTTTGTTTTGGTTTGGTTTTTGTTTTCAAATATCTAATTTATCTATCTATCTATCTATCTATTTATCTATCTATCTATCTATCTATTCTAATATATATTGATTTGGTTTGGTTTGTTTTATTTTATATCAAAATTCAAAATTTTTATTGTCAAATTAATAATTTTTTCCAAAAATGTAATGCTGCTAATATATTTTTCCCAAAAATCATTTGCTGGTAATATTTTTTTTTTTTAAAATATGGTGTAGACGACGAAACAAAAAGGTTCTATTCTTAAAAAATTTTTAAAATATTTTTATTTTTTAAATTTTTTAAAATTAAGATTATAGTCAAATAATTGCATATTTTTTTCAAAATTTCGTCGAAAGGTGGGTGAGAGTTTAAATACATGTGGGTGAGAGGGGCTAACCTTTGAGGAGTTGTTAGATATATATCATAGAATTTGGAAGGATTGCTTTGGTTTGGTTTGTTTTATTTATTATCAATCTCTATGAAAATAATTTAATGCTTTTAAATTTTTTATTGTTGTTAATATTTTTTTATCTATCTATCTATCTATCTATCTAACCCATTATCTTCTATCTTTTTTTTTCTTTAAACAACTTTCTTTCTTTCTATCTATCTATCTATCTATCTATCTATCTATCTATCTATCTCATATATATTGGTTTGGTTTTTTTTTTTTTTAAGGCATATCAACCTCAATGCGTTATTTAATGCCGAAAAATTTTTTTATTCTGATAATATTTTATCTATTTATATATCTATCTAAAATTCATTTATTATCTATCTATCTAAATCTATTTTTATAATGCTATCTATCTTAATATCTATCTTTCTATCTATCTATCTATCTATCTTCTTAGTATATATTGGTTTGGTTTGGTTTTGTTTTACGGCATATCAACCTCAATGGGTTATTTCATTATTTAAGATTTTTTTTTTTTGAATATTTTTATCTATCTATCTATCTATCTATCTATCTATCTATCTATCTATCTATCTATCAGTCTATTTCTATCTATCTATCTAACTCAGTATATTTTCCAAAAATGTATTGATGTATTGATTTTTCCAAAAATTTATTGCCGGTAATTTTTTTTTCAAAAGTGTATGGCTGGTAACAAAACCTATTTTTATACTTTCATAGTGTTTTGACCGCTTTCGGGGAGGGTAACTATTTTCTGGGACCCTGACAGGTGATACCACCCAGGGTCAGAGTGGACCTGGGAACACAAACATTTAAGAGATGGTTCCACGCTCCTCAAAACCTCCTGATCAGAGACTTTGCTGTTGGATATAGTTTATCGTCATACCCAGGACGCAAATAAATTTGGAGAGATATGTGAAATATCTGGCGAGACACGGGAAACACTTGGTTACATTACAAATGAATCGATTGATCAAGTTACCCAAATTGGCCGAACATTGTTTAGTATGTCATACATTCCTTAAACCTTTTATCTTCCGGAAAATTGTAGAGCAAAATAAGCGAAAAAGACTCCTTTGACCTTTTATTATGAGTCATGATAAGATTCGTTCTTCACAAGGGAAGTCTTATAAATAGCACACATGTAATTTACTTAGAGAACTGAACTCACAGTGCGTTAATATTAATATAACCTCTTCAATACCCGTTTAATTAGACCTAAATTTACTCTCTGCGGGAATATTTGTATAATAAATCGTCCGCGGGGAATTTTCTTCAGTAGATCGCTAATTTAACATACTTTAGGAACCCTATTTCACCAAACCTAGCACAAAGCTGTCTCTCTTGTGGCAATCTGCCATTTTTTTTCGTATATCCAAGAGCGATTTTTTACTTTAAAATATCCGTTTCAGTAGTACAGTGTTTTTGAGTGAATAAATAGATTTTTAAATCCAGTCATTGGAGACTGATGTGAAAATAATTTATTTTATACAAAAAATATTTATTTTTCGAGAAGATATCGTTCCTTGTCGATACCATTTAGCACAACGCTCTTTTAGTACTCATATATATCGGAAATTATACAGTGAAAACCTCAGATCAAATCTCATTTAATAAGTCGTTAGGCTACATACAAGTCTTCAATGATTATATATATATATATATATATATATATATATATATATATATATATATATATATATATATATATATATATATAGTGTCCATAAAGTTCGTGTGCACTTTAAAAATTTATAACTTTAATTTGTATTTGCGATAGAAATAATCTGTAAAAAAATTTATAAAGTTTAATATACCTAGTTTTAAGTATAGCTAAAATAACTAATGTAATTTCAGGCATTACTGTAAATCAGTTGGCAAATGTTTTCCGTGAACTACAAAATCGTATTACCCTTTATATTGCTAATGATGGAGGACATGTGGAAACTTAAATAAAATTTCAATAAAACCTTAAAAAAATATAGATTTACTTTTTTCTAATCCTTTTTACAAATTATTTCTATCGCAAATACAAATAATGTTGTAATTTTTAAAGTGCACACGAACTTTACGTACAGCCAGTACATATATATATATATATATATATATATATATATATATATATATATATATATATATATATATTTTGGTTGGATAGATGCGAGTTTGTGACCCTGGGTTTCACGCTTTAGCGATCGTCAGACAAATAAATAGAGTTTATTTCTGTGGATAACTAATTCAGTTTGCTGACGATCGCTAAAGCGTGAAGCCCAGGGTCACAAACTCACATCTATCCAACCAAATATGTTAGCTCTATCTCTGATATTGAGCGCTTTCTAATAAGTACCATATAATAATATATAAATAATTATACATATATATATTTATTTATATTTATATACACTTTTCACACACACACACACACACACACACACATATATATATATATATATATATATATATATATATATATATATATATGAAATAAACTGTCACGACTGTTCTTCAAATACATTGGGGAAACTTAAAGAAATTTAAAAAAAACTTATCGATGAACGGAAAAGAGATTTTATACACAACAATTTATCAAATGCATTATTTATCCACAGAAATAAATTCAATCACGACTTTGATCTAAAAATTACTGTTGTCTGTTTACAGATATATATTTAATCATATCTGAGATACATATATATTCCAAAACATTTAACACGTTTTCTTCCTTTTCTGTGTTGTGAACCTTCAGTGGCTGTGCGATCATGGCTCTCCACAAATTCTTCTCCTTTGTAGCTTTTATTAAATGTTTTCTTTTTGCTATATCTCCTAATCACTGTTCGGCTAAACATTTAAGCAAGCACCTTAGGTAGGTTGAGCGCTTGTAGCTTTTTCTCTGTCCCGCTTGCCTTTAATATGTCCTGTGAGTGCCAAATTCTACAAGCCTTCTTTCCTCATTATGTACTCTAGAAATGTCAAAACTATAACAGTGAATGCCAGTAAAGATGTCTATATTTCGGAGATGAGGTATTATATCCACTATTTACATTGTTCGAACTATCATCCTCATCTTTGCTGCCATATTTATCACAACGTTTCGGCCATTGTAAGCCCAGGCCTTCTCCAGTTAGTTAGAATGTCAAACTGAACACTTTATCTCGCTCACTGTCCTCAAGGACACCTGGCACAGTGAATAAAGGCGTTAGTTAGATCCAGTGACGGGACCCAAAGAACCGCGACTGGCTTACCATCTCGTGCGACCTCGCGACAGACCGACGAGCGTGGGCAGCAATGGTCCGTGATGCGGTGCGTCAACAGGAAGAAGCCGGCTCAATCCGCCCAGGGTGAATGCCGCATCAAACAAAAAAACCAAAAAAAAAAAACCAAAGAGTGTGAGTTCAATACCCGATTAAAGCAGTGGAAAACTTGCAGAGGGAAATTAACAGGAGATAACTGATAACTGACATCCATTAGACATGGCACGTGGAACTAGAACAGTCTACCCCAGTGAGCGAAATAAAGGGTTCAGTTCGACATTCCAACCACCTGAAGAAGGCCGGAGCGTACAACGGCCGAAACGTTATGATAAATATGGCGACAAAGATGAGGACAATAGTCCGAATAAAGTAAATAATGCACCATGAAAGTATTTATAGAAAAGGCAAAGGGAAGCAATTTTACGACTGGGAGAAAGAGACTGAAACCGAGCCGCTAGATCAAGACCAGTAATATTGCAGATTCTTCTTAGGATTTTATCAAGAATCTCTCCCGTCCTGGGTAAGACGATAAACTACATCCAACAGCAAGTCCTCCGATCAGAAGGCTTTGAGGAGCGTGGAACCACCTCTTAAATGCTGGTGTGCGCAGATCCACCTTGTCTCGGGGTGCTAACACCTGATAGGGTCCCAGCTATGGGCAAATAGTTAACCCCCTAAAGTGGGGGTCAAAAATTGTAAAAATAGGCTTTAATATCAGCAATAAGTTTTTTTGTAAAAAATTATTACCAGTAATAAATTTCCGAGAAAAAAATATTATCAGCAATACCTTATTACTAGCAATACATTTTTGAAGAAAAAAAATATTACCACCAATACAAATCTTTGTGGCATTAAATAACCTATTGAGGCTGATATGTCGTAAAACAAACCAAACCAAACCAATATATACTGAGATAGATAGATAGATAGATAGATAGATAGATAGATAGATAGATATTAAGAGACCAAGAGGGACACATAGACATGAACATGGCAACAAATATGAGGACAATAGTCCGACTAATGTAAATATTGCCAGCAAAGACATAGAATAACTGTGAATTAAACAAAAATATCATAGATAGAGTTTGTTTATTTAAAGGCACGACAACTCCTTATGGGCCATTTAAGGCCGAAATTTAATGCTCTTGGGAGCTTGAGTAATTTTGTTCTTTTTACAAAAATCTATTAGTGTCAATTTATTTATATATTTTTATTATTTAATTTTTTGAACCCTAGTTTTTTTTGGGGGGTGGGTCACTATTTTCCCACACCTGGGACCCTAACGGGTCCTACTACCCGGGTCAGGGTCGATCTGGGAATAACATAAATTAAGAGATCGTTCTACCTTCCTCAACTTCTCCCGACCAGACGTCTTCCTGTTGGATTTAGTTTATCGTTAAACAGGTCGATTCAATAAACTCAAGTATAGAAAACATACATTTTCCCATTAAAAATAAAAATCCCAGCTAATATCAAAATAAAAAATACAGAAAATTTTCATCTTTGTTGCCAATACTAAAAAATTTACTACCACATAGCATTTTTCAGACTATTATTTTTACCTCTTTGTTTGAACCACATATTTATCCTGTCACAATCATTTTTATCAAATGCCATGTGTCCAGGACATCTTTTTTCTGGGACCTAAACTTAATGTTTTTAAACCATTTTACCAGTGCTACATATTGCAATTTTGTTGTTATTTTTAATTTTTTTTACCAGAGCTCTGTTTTTCGTTGTTATTATTGATTTTCAACCTGGTTCTCATATTGATCCCACAGAGGGCAATTTTTTTGGCCTCCTTTTTTTTCCTTAAGTTTACGTATTTTTCATGTGGTCCGATTTCAACCTGATCCCCTCTGATTTTTCCACTGTCTTTCATATGTTACAGATATTTTTCCACTGTCTCTTATGTTACAGATATTTGGAGCTCTTGAAGCCTTACCTTAAGGGGGTGGCCTGTTTCCTTTTCATATTTCTTTCCGCAGCTGCATGGGATGGCGTATACACAGTTTTTTGTCATGTTCTCCTCTGGGGTGGGGCGGGGGGTCTTACACGAGTTTAAACATTTGAGCGATTGATATTTTTATTATTCATATTATATTTTGTTACGTTTGAATAATACAATACATTTTGGGTGTACGTCTTTCATTACTGTATACCTACTTTTGCATCCTCTGTCTATATGTTTCGAATTTAATAAAACATAATTTTTCTCTAATAATGCTGCCAACATTAAGATCCTGATAATGAATAAGACAGTTGAAGTAGGAGTAAATAGCTTCGCCTATCTTCCGGTTCACGCACTTGCCCGGTCTTTTGAGCTGGTATACAAGTTTATCCGTTATTCACTGTTTAGCGTTAGGCTTCCAGTTTCCTCTCAAACCTTTTTACTGTCACATCCCGTTGTCCCATTAATGTCTTGCTTCGAGTGATACTTCTTACTCTGTAACTCTCTACCTCGAGTGGCTCTTGAGCCTTGTACAGCGTAACATAACTTCATTGTATAAAACTACAAACAAAAGCCAAGAAAAGAACTAAAAACAAAAGCCAAGCAGAAAATAGCGTTCCCCACAAATTTCATCCAGATGTACAGACACTTCTTCGATAATTAGAAAAATACGATAAAAAATAACAATAATAATTCCTTTCACCAATCCATCAAATTAGAGAAAAAAAATTTAGCAAGCCAGTGTGAAATTATTTTCTAACTAATGAAAACTTTGTGTTCAAAAACTTTACACCTCTGTGTGAAATTAGATTTGAATCTCCTTACGGATATATAAATAGAAGCATACTACTTCTCGTGGTTCAAAACAATTTCGGAGGCCAGTTTCATCAAACATTGTCAGTTGAATTTAATAAAACCTGCTTGACGGAATTCAGTGCTGCCTAAAATATACATTATATAGACATATGGATAATAGCATTCTTCGCGTCAATTTTTCACCATTTTTCGCTTCTTTTCTCAACGAGAAAATAAGATTTATTCTTCCAACTGTATATGCAAGGAAATACTCCAAGAATTGACGTAACTAGTGAATTTTTGCGAACAGTAATATAGAATTGCCAATCACATCATGAATCAATAGAATTTCTGTATCGTTAAAAAATCTTTAATTCATCAATTTTACAATTTGTCTATTTTACATTACCGATATTGTTATAATCTCTCTCTCTCTCTCCCTCTCTCTCCCCCCTCTCTCCCCCCCTCCCCCCCTCTCTCTCTCTCCCCTCTCTCTCCCCCCTCTCCCCCCTCTCTCTCTCTCTCTTTTAGTCACTCATTCTCCTACGCATAGATGCAAACACACGTGCGGCTATGAGTTAAGTCTCTGTTTGAGAGGAATAAACTATCTCTGTTTCTCTCTCTCTCTCTCTCTTTCTCTCTCACTCACTCTGATGTCTTCTCTCTCCAACACCCCTCTCTCCGCTCTCTAGCTCTTTCACTCACTCATTTTTCCACATATGCAAACAAACGTGCGATTATGAGTTATCTCCCTCTGTTTTACACGCATAAACTCTTTCTGTCTCTTTCTCTCTCTCTCTCTCTCTCTTTCTTGCTCTCTTTCTCTCTCATTCGTAACATTTAATTTAAAAGGGGTCTCCATACAAAGTAGAGCAATATTATGTATTTTAGTATTACATCGAAAACATGGCAAAATGGCTACACATTTCCAAACGTGTTTCGATGCGTATCAATGCGATGAGAAGCCTTGATACGCACTGAAACACGTTTGCAATTGTGTAGCCACTTTGGCATGTTTACGGCGTAATATACTAAAATACATAATATTTGCTCTCTACTTTTGTATGGAGCCCTCTTTTAAATTAAATGTTACGAACGTTGAATTGTAATCATTCGTTCTCAATATACCTGGATAACTATATATATATATATATATATATATATATATATATATATATATATATATATATATGTATGTATGTATATTGTACTTTCTTCTAGACTCGATGAATTACTTAATTATAATTATCTCAAATCCTCCTGATTTCTATCACTTGTATAGACTTGCTTCTAATCGGCTTCTAATGATCTGGATGGAGCTTCTTGGGGTTAGTAGTCTGCTCGTGGGGGCACAGTCCTATGGGCAAAAGAGAAACTCGTGTGAGTTCTACCACGGAATATGTGATCGTACGGCGCTATATCGAGTCTGATTCGCTACCTTTTCATCACCGAGGCCCGTTGGAACAGTTGGTATGACATTTGCATGATAACGTCCGGGTTTCAGTTCTCAGTAGTGCATGCGCACTGCTGACGAGTCACAAATGTAGGACGAAACGGCTGTCCAGTGCTTTTTGCATTTTGTTGAGGTTTCCTCTACGTATTATTTAATTTATATATATATATGCATAAACTCTGTCAATCTTTCTATCCGTTTTGTCTTCTCTTTTTAAACCCCCCCTCTCTCTCTCTCTCTCTCTCTCTCTCTCTCTCTCTAATATGAATACATTTTTTTAATTCGAAGATCTATCCAAAAGTGCGGAATATTTTAGTTGTGAAATGACTTCTACAAAAAAAATACTCAAATATTGAATGAATGATTCCCGTAACGGTGGTCGATTATATCCACTGATTGTCAAAGTGGCATCAATTGATTGAAGATGTCCGCCATCTAAGGGTTAAATTAGCGTAAAATCCTATAAAAAGCAGGAGAAATCAATTGGAGACAAAATGATGGTACCATAAATTCAAATGATTAAAATACTTTGTCAAAAAAGACATCCATTCTTTCCCTAAGTCAAACATATTCACAAGCGACTATGCAAAGACACAAATGACATACCTTCATATTTCACGTAGGAATAAAGAGCGCTGAATCCTTGTTGCTGAAACATGCCGTCTGTTTTGAAACGTAGCCAAAGATATCGACTGGCTGAGCTGTAAATCGGGGGAAGAATTTTCCCACAAAGCCGTGCTAATAACGGCGAATAACCGAATGGGCCATTTCGTATCTCGAGATAATCATACTGACAATCCGAAGATTGTTCCAATACGAATTCCTGAAGGTCAAGATCGATGGTATAGCCTTTGGGAGCTGAAAAAAAAAGAAAGGAAATAGCATTAGTTCGATAAGGTGAAATTGGCAGGTGATCTAAAAATCAGCTCTCTGTTAATAATCTGTTTCGAGTTATTGATTTTCCTATAAAGTAAAAAAAAAATAGTTTTTGACTTCAAAAATGCTTTGGCAAATAAAACGAAATTAACATCTGTGCCTTTGAAGGTAGAGTTAAATTTCAAAAGTTATATCTCGCACAGCCAAATAAATGCAGGTAAATTAGTAGGTGTGGGTAACTTAGACAGCTAAGCCTAAGGTGAAAATATATTCGTACAATGTAAGTTTCAGATTTTAAAACTATTAAATTGCTTTAATACTCTAGATTATTCAAGCGGAACATTCTAGAATGATCAAATAATGTTATCAATAGTTATTTTTAGTCTAAAACTACAAACAATATTTTATGACAGATATTCGTGCAAGAAGGTTTTCATCATGGCAAGAGGTCAAGAACTGACAAATTCGCAAAAAGAACTGATTGTTAAGCTCTGGAAAGAAGATACAGAAAAATCTGACAACCGGAATGTTCCATTTACTACTATTAGTTTATTCACTACTAGTTATAAAAAAAAAACTCAAAACTAATGAAAGCTAAAATAGAACAGGTCCTTCATGGACGATTTCTTCAAGATTTTCGGGTAAATAATTGTGTAAAATTAAACAAAAACTTAATAGTTACTTGTCAAGAGTTGCAGGATGATTTGCTTTTATGAGGAATCTGCGTCACTAAACAGACAATAATCGATAAAATTTATAGGAACAATCTAAAGTCAGACTCCCCTCGGAAAAACTCTACTGCTATTAAAAAGATACAGAGATGCCAGATTGAAATTCGTTCGTGAACATAAAAATAAGGAAAAATCGTATTGCGAAAGAGTATTATGGACAGACGAAACCAAAATTGAATTTTTTGGACGTAATTCTAGAAATCATGTATGGAGGAAAAATGGCAATACCTTCAAACAAAATAACATAGTTTCAACAGTGAAATTTGGTAGTGGCAGCATTATGGTTTGGGGATGCTTTTTCTGCAAAAGGTACTGGCAATATATCAGTAGTAGATGGTAGAATGAATGCCGTAGCATATCAATATATTTTGGAAGCAAATTTAACGATTTCATTGGAAAACCTTGAACTTCCTCCTGATTGAATTTCCCAAAAAGTTAATGAACCTAAGCACACTACAAAATCTACGAAGAAATGGCCTCATGAAATAATGCAAATATCCTGAATGGCCCAGATCAGTCTCCAGTTTTAAAGCCAATCGAGAATCTGTGGAGTAATTTGAAAATTCAAATCCAATCGAGAGCTCCAACAAACAACCCGGACCTGAAGGCCATATGGTGAAATTACGAACTAAGTTTGCAGGAAGATCTAAGGCAGGCAATGTTATGTTGTTATGGATACATTTCATGATTTGTTTTTCTAACACCCATAACATCACTAGCGTTACAGGGACAAAGTTCTTCTTGGTGTGTGGGCTGTAATTATCAGGCAATTTTTGGTATTTCTCTTAAGCTGGAATTTCCAGGGATTTTTTCAGTATTTTGTTGCGTTCCTCTTTTTATTTCTTTTTTTTTTTGTCATTTCAAGCGTACTTCTATGACTGGTACTATTCTTGTTTTTTATCTTCACATATTTTCGATTTCGATTTCCAGGTCTTTATACTTCGATACTTTTTTCAAATTCCTTGGTTGTTATGTTACTGTCCGCTGGGCAAACCATATCAATTAGGAGGCAAGGTTTTTTTCTTTTCGGTTTTTGACAATTATACCCTATTTATTTAATTCAATCTTCATGTCTGTAGGGATGGTGCAATCCCATAGAATAGTATTTCTGTAACCGGTACTGGGTGGTGTTCGTACTAGTGTTTATTATTATTATTATTATTATTATTATTATTATCTTTATTTTATTTCCTTCGATATCTGGCGTTTACACAGTTCTTTCCGGGTCCCGCCGAGGGATCTAAGGTTAGAAATGGCATCATGACACTTTCCACTGACAAAAAGAAAACACATATTTTACATAGATAAAGCCCTTCCTAAAGTGTGGGCTGTACTTGTTAGAACAATTTTTTTGTATCTCTTTGAGGCATGGACTTCCAGGAATCCCTTCAATTAGTCTACTGGAATCTTTTCCAACCAATCCTAGGGCTCCAACTACAACATGGATTGTTGATGTTCCCATGTGCCACATTTTGTGATTTCGATTTCAAGGTCCTTGTATTTTGACAGCTTTTTGATTATCTTCAAAGATACATTGCAGTCTACAGGGACTGCCATATCAATAAGAAGGCACTTTTTTGTTTGTGGTCTGTATTATTATTGTTGTTGTTATTATTATTATTTAAACATATGAAATATAAATAATATATCCATAAATACTTTTGCATATACCGAGTGTAACAGCATGATTATCCAATTGTTAGATTAAGATTTGAACCGTTGTACTTTATAAATGATTAAAGATATCTTACTGGAATTCTCCGAGGCTTTTTTATCACACTATTGGGTTCTACTGTGAACAATGAGAATGTATTTAGGTCGAAGTTGAAATGATGATCCTTGTTCCTGTTGTAACTTCCTGATCCAGTTTTTCCTCTCTACTGTTCCCTCTTTTTTAAACTTATTCACCGTTCTCTTGAATAGACTTTGAAGATGGAAGCCAGATTATGAATGTTGGTACTATTGCTGAAAGCCTGAATGATCTTTTTCATCTCACCATTGCTCAGTTAGGGAGCGGCCACAAAATAATTTTAATTTTTAGTACGGACCCAAAATGTAGATCCAGTTACCAATACATTGAAACTATTATCTCCGGATGTTCAATACTAACATTGGTTTTGAAATTGTGGATAACCTATCTTATGATGATGTTTGTTCAACTGATTTTGTTCAAGTATATTCTATCGCCTCAGTCATTATCAAGAACAATGTGCTGTCAGTATTATAGGCAAGCATAGGAAGAATAAGGAATTCATTGTATATTATGCGTTTATTTCGACCCTGATATCATTATCAGGTCGAGAATTCTTCTCAGATTCTCCATCTCGGATTCTCCATCCATTTCTGTCAGATATTGTTATCGGCAGGTTCTCCAGATGGCATCCAGAGTCATCTACAAGTTGGTCAACATAGGTGTGATGAAGTCTTCCAACAGATTTTTTGCCGTGCAATGGGTTCCATAGGAGAGTGTCACTCACAAGCTCTCTCTCTCTCTCTCTCTCCCTTCTCTCTCCCTCCCTCCCCTCTCTCTCTCCCTTCTCTCTCTCTCTCTCTCTCCTCCCCTCTCTCTCTCTTTCTCTCTCTCTCTTAGCGAAACTGAGATAGGAGGAAGGTGGTCCATACATGCGTTTCTTTGTTGGGTGTTTCTTCCAGCTGATGTCCAGTGCAACTCGTAACATCCTTGTGTGTTCCGTCAAGTGATACTTTTTGATGTTTCGTCAGTGTTGAGCGAGACAGATTCTATCGTGGCCTCTTAAGATTACCAGAGACAGAGGACTTCTAGATGATGCTCAGACCATCAAGGACACCAAAGGACTTTGCGGATTGTGATGTCTCTCTCCGTTGACTGGATGTTGCTGCCGAGGTAAACAAATTCCTGGACGGATTTTCAACTTAATTTCTCCTTTTTGGTTGTAACTAATAAATTGTGTTTTGCCAGCATTAATATAGAGACTAAGCTCACTGGCTGTTTCTTCGATAAGATGGAGAAGTTTGGTAGACTTATCAATCATGTCTGAAAACAAGGCAAGGTCATCTGCGTAATCTACGTGTGTTAATGTTTTTATGGATGACATGAACTTCTTGTTTTTTTTTTTTGAGTGAACCCCAAATCGGGGTTTAGATCAGCCGATGTTAGCATACTAATCTAGTGACAGAATAAAAAGACATCTTATTCTAGAATTGGATAAATGCAATAAACAGGCAAGAAGTGATGGACTTTTATTTATTCATCCAACATACAACTTTTGAGAATATCATCGACGCACTTCGTGACCGAGAGGTCTAAAGCACGTCGATTGTGTTTAAACCTGAAATACACACACACATTCACACGCATATATATATATATATATATATATATATATATATATATATATATATATATATATCATTTCTGTAGTTCACTGCTACCAGCAAGCAGAAATATTTCTCCTCCCGATGATGGCCACCAGTCGAGGAATCTAAATGGAATAATAATAAAAAAACGAAAAGAATATTAATCTACAACCCAGTGTGTCCAAAGATTTTAATTTTTTATTTTCTTATTGTTCAATATATATATATATATATATATATATATATATATATATATATATATATATATTTCCAGGGTCTTATTTCAACTTATTCAAGATGTTCTTCGCCCACTCTAACCTTTTAACTTTCTGTCCTGGAGTAACAAAGTGCCTGACACGTTTCATGTGCGATTTCATTTTCTAGTATTTTTCACTGCTCTTTGGACTGTCATAGCTGAAACTCCTCTCTCATCTACCAAACATCTTATGAAATGAGATGGATCTTTTTTCTAATTGATCTCTTTAGCACTAAGTTCGAATGATGATCCCTCTTCCTGTTGTGACCTTCCGACCCAGTTTTCCTCTCTACTGTTCCTTCATTTTAAAACTTATTCACCGTTCTCTTGATGGTTCTTGAATGGACTATGAATGTGGAGGACAGACTATGAATATTGGTACAATTATTGAAGGTCTGAATGATCGTTTTCCTCTCACCATAGCTCAGTTAGGAATTCAGTGGGTTTAACACAAAACAATTATAACCTGTTCTCTTTTTAGCTGAATAACTAAAAGGTTTTTTCAGTGATTTTTTTTCAGATGGCTAAGCCTTTTATCTGAAAATCTGGAAACAAAGAAATTTAATTAGTTTAGTTATCTTTAGATATGAAACATTTGTCGGGTGGATAATAATGCTGTTACACGATTTGGACAATTTTGCTCTTACATCCGTTATACAGGGTGTCTATAAAGTTCGTTTGCACTTTAAAAAATTTATAACTTCATTTGTATTTGCGATAGAAATAATTTGTAAAAAGGATTAGAAAGAAGTAAATCTATATTTTTTAAGGTTTTATTGAAATTTTATTTAAGTTTCCACATGTCCTCCATCATTAGCAATACAAAAAGGGTAATACGATTTTGCAGTTCACGGAAAACATTTGCCAACTGATTTACAGTAATGCCTGAAATCACATTAGTTATTTTAGCTATACTTAAAACTAGGTACATTAAAATTTATAATATTTTTACAGATTATTTTTATCGCAAATACAAATGAAGTTATAAATTTTTAAAGTGCACACGAACTTTATGGACACCCCTATATATATATATATATATATATATATATATATATATATATATATATATATATATATATATATTTTTATTTTATTTTCTCCTTTTCGATTCGTTCATAGTGACAGATCTATCAAATAATTATCTTTGCAAAAAAATTTTCCATTAATGAAATATACTTTTACTGAAACGCTAATTTAAGTTAAGTTGACTGATTTACTTAAAACTAGCTACATTAAACTTTATAATATGTTATACAGATTATTTTTATCAAATACAATTGAAGTTATAACTTTTTAAAGTGAACACAAATTTTATGGACACCTGTTATATGGAATATATATATATATATATATATATATATATATATATATATATATGTGTGTGTGTGTGTGTGTGTGTGTGTGTGTGTGTGTGCATATGTAAGTTTAATAAGAGACAATGGGAAAACTGTAATAGTTGCCGGCGCGTTTCGTCCTATGTTGAGTTTTCAAGGCAAAACGAAATGAATTTATTAAACAAAGTAACTAATAATAACAAAACAAAATGTCCTTAGCAACTGGAAGAATTTAGAGAATGCTATTTTCATACTGTTAACTGAAAATTACGTCAATAACTGTAACGTGTCATTAATTTCTGAGTTTAGATTATTTTGGGAACAGATCAGATTTTGCGAGGAAATATTGAGCAGCGCTAGAGACACTCGGTATAATCATTGAATCTGTATTGGAAATATAAGCCCCACATTATAGGCAAACCGTGTGAGGTAAAATTATCACTGTTAGGGCATAACAAGAAATCATAAACAACGCTAACGTTGTCACTTTGTTTAATAAATTCATTTGGTTTCACCTTGAAAAATCCACATCGGGTATTTGTGCGTATATTTCTCCTTTTTTTAGGGATTTCGCATGGTGTATCATCTTTTCAGTTGTGTCTCTGTCTTTGGGCAAAGTGTGCTAAAAGCTTCTCTGTCAAAGGACAGGGGGTAAAAAAGGAAAATAATACTGAAGAAAATAAATCCTGGGGAGCAGCTGCCTCAAGGCCGCGCCCTTCCATTGTACCAGAGGGAGGGACCGGTGCTCGCACTCTGTATAAATTTTACTGACCGTTAATAATACTGAAGGGAATTCCTGTTCTTTCCCATTTTGTACGCGCCTGGGTCCACATCTAAAAAGACCTTGTGTTTATCCCGTCCAAGTGGTGGGAAGGAGTTAATACCGTCCACATCGGACGAAACGCGTCGGTTACTATTACAGTTTTCTTTAATTGTCTTTTTACATTTATAAATATTGTCTCTTTTTCTACAGGTTAACTTTATTCTGATGAATTTTTATATATATATATATATATATATATATATAGATAGATAGATAGATAGATAGATAGATAGATAGATAAACAAACCTAGTGAGCCAGACAGACCTACCCAGGTTTCACCTAAGAAAATAGTCAGGGAAAGCTGAGCCAGCTTTCCCTGACGATCCGCTTAGGTGAAACCTGGGTTTTTGTCTGGCTACTAGGTTTATCTAGGTCTGCTCTAACAATGTATTGAGCTCTTTTGTTAGTTAGTTGTTTACTCTGTCAAAAATTTTTTTTTTGGGCTTCAAACCTGTATCTGTGTAATATTTTTCGACAGACTTTAAATGTTTCAGCTTTTTCATTTTTTAAATTTTTTTTTTCCTCGAGATTGATTTGATTATTATAAAATCAAAATTTCGAAATTTTTTATAGTTATACCTATATATATATATATATATATATATATATATATATATATATATATATATATATATATAAACAGGCGTATATATATGTTTCATGTTTGAGATGAAAAATATTAATAGATCCGGGTGATGAGACGAAAGGTGAGGAAAATTATTTATTAATATTTATTTCATCCCTGGCATTCGAGCTGTCGTATCTTATCAAACCTAACGAATTCGCTGTTCGAACGACAGGTTGGCAAACGCAAAACACCTGATCGCATCCATTCACACCTTCACGCCTAACTCAAAAGGGTCAACAACCTAACATAAGTCCATACCAACCGCAGGGGTGATTGATGATTTCTTATTTGGTACCCAAACAGGGATAACTTTACCTCACAAGTTTTGCCTATAACGTGGGTCTTATTTTATTTCCAATACATATTCAATGTTTTTACCGAGTTTCTATTTAGCGCTGCACAATATTTCCTAGCAAAATCTGATCTGTTCTCAAAATAATCTAAACCCAGAAATGAAGTATATGTCTTGGGAAAAGATGTATTTTGTTTCCGTATATATTTCTTAAATGACGTATTCTAATTATTTACACTATTATTTCAAGGGGAAATGCTTCCATAACACATGGCCCAGGGGATAAAAGCGTTGGTTGGGCCCAGTGACTTGACCCAAAGAGTTGTGAGTTCAATTCCTGGCTACTGCAGTGGTGAATAAAAACTTAGAGAATTGAGTTTAATGAGATAATTATGACATCCGGAAAGTGTCATGGCACGTCTTTTTCAACCAGAACAATCTACCCCGTGGACGAAATAAAGGGTTTAACTGAAAATCACCTTCACCTGAAGAAGGCAAAGCGTAAAAAAATATAAAAACGTCGATGAATATGGCAATATTGAGGACAGCAGTTCGAAAACAATTTCAAATAAGTAAAACTAGTAGATTATGATGCGTTTTTTGATAAAATTTTTCAATGAGTCGCTGAGGGAAAAAAAATATCCGCTTTCATTGTATAAACATTCTAAAAAAAAAAATTGATGAAAAATCTTTTAACGATTTTACTTTGTCTTTTTTCGCTTTTTATATCTTTATATTTAAATTTAAAATTTTAAATTTTTTAAACTTTTTTTTCCGACAAACACACACATATAAACACACATACATATATATATATATATATATATTATAAATATATAAATAATTTACCTTTTAGGGAAACATTTGGTATATTTTGAAGTGATAAACAAAAGCAGAAATTATTTATGACAACCTAA